AATTTTAATTAACAATCAGTTCAAATCATCTCTCTCATACTTTTAAACCAAATCACCTTTGGTTATTTCATTTTAAATATTATTCAATATACCATCTATCAACTAATCACACCACTTTTTCAAAAATTAACCAAACCAAACAAAAAAATACAAACAAATCCAAAAAATTTTATATCCAAGCATATCATTTTAACATCGATTATACTTTATCAGTTAAATAATATTCACTAGTATTTCTATATTTTTGTATACAAAAAGACTGACCTTGATTGTTAAATAGAATCTCAAAATCAGAAGGAACTGGTGCTGTTGGAACTTAAAAAGAAGTCTAAAAATAATATGATAATTTATACGGCAGATGGACAAATGAGTTGTTAGTTTATTATTTTAATATCGATTATACTTTATTAGCTAAATAATGTTCACTAAAATTTTTATAGTTTATATGTTGTTTAAAAGAATCTTAAACATGTATGTTTAAAATATTAAAAACACTAAAATGTTATACAACATGTGTAAGATTATCTAAAATAGTCTATATTATTCCTAAAAAAAATGTGAGGTCACCTTTCTAAATTATTTTATAAGTAAAACATGTCTTAAAAAAATTCAACATCCATACATATATACATAACATGTTTAAAATATACAAAATACTACATGTGAATAATATGTATTAAAGTCTAAAAAATATTAGTAATTATATCTACAAAAATATGTATGAATAATACAAAACATTAAACATTACATCACGCTAATTTTATGAGAGATATTATATATAGTAGATATAAAATTTAAAAACATTAATGGTTAGACATTACTTCACACTAATTTTTTCAAGCCGAACAATTTTTAATTAGATGTCTGAGAACTTTTTATATATATTTTCAAGTTGAACATCTTTTAGTTGGCTATCTTCCCTATTATATGTGTGATAAGTTTTTATGTATTACATTTATATATATAGATATAGATTTTGCATATATAGATTTATATTTTGTGTATATGAAAACGAAAAATCGATTTACTATACAAAATTTTGAAAATTTTCCTTTTAAAAATAATAGGCAAAAGAATACCATATAAGGGAATTGATTTATATCTCAAAAAAAAAAAAAATTGTATATGTCTCATATAAAATCGTTCATTTTCAAAATCTGCTACAATGTAAAACATATTTAAATATTAATATGAATTTATATTTTTGGGTATATAAATGTCAATCCAAATTGTTGGTTCTAACAAATGATAAAATAAATAAGAATCCTCACAAATGAGAATTCCAAAATTGACGCCATGTAAATTTAAATTTTACTATAAATTTTTTTTTGTGTACGTAACATATATGCTGATTCAAATTAATGATTCTAATAAATTTGTTAAAAAAAAAAAAGAATCCTCGATAAATGCTACATATAATTATTTACATAATCTTTGCCTACAAAACCACTATCAACGCATTTAAAGGAAAGCAGAACTGACTAAAACAAACACAAACCGAAAGTCGAGTTATATGAAAATTATGCAATTAATAATTTATTTTTATTTATATCATATGAGCAACTCGTTATTCCCACAAATTAATATGGTCAACCATTTTCTATTTGTATCACGCGAAATTGTAATATATAAGTGATCGTAACTAAAAACATGTTTTTTTTAAGAATATGCAAACGTGCAAATAAAGACTGACACTCACCCTTATTTATCGTCGTGACAATATAAATGAATGTTTATCTCAAAAATTTAATCTTTTAAATGTAGTGGTCGTGTGTTATTTTTTTAGTTTCGTGATTGATGGACTTTTTTATTAATTAATGGTTTGATTCAATATATAGCAAATTTTGTTGTCAATCGTTTAGTTAATTTGTGTAAATGCATAAATAAAAAGAGACCAAAACTATGAAAAAAATTTCATCTTTTGAAAGCAAATAAATGATAAACATTATCTTTTAAAATGAATAATGACAATGATTATAACATTGCATTATCAAAACCGATAAGGTATACAAAATTTGTTTTTCTTTTCAAACCGATAATGTAGAAAAAAATTCAATTGATGAATAGATGATATATACAAACCATTATTTAGAAATCTATTCAAAATTTTCTTTGCATGAATCCGACGCATAAATCATTCAGCCTATTATTATATTATTAAACTATTTGAAACGTGTATACACCCGATATTTGATTCCAACGGGAATTGAATCCATCAACTATTAAATCAGTTATTCCATATCATTTGACAATTAATGCGCCGAGATATGCTATCACGAATTGTCAAGAAATACTAAAATTAGGTAATAATTAATGCATGACGGGAAAAAATTACTAAAAATAATTTAAGTCTAATCTTATTTTATACATAAAGATATAGTATAGAAACCATGTACAACCGGTTTTATTTGAAAGAAATATATTATTATATTATTAAATTATAATATATTATTATATTATTTGGTAGAATTATTAAATTATTAATTTATATTATACTTGTACAACCAGTATTATATCATTTGGCAAAATTAGATTAGTAAATTAAATTATATTATACCATGTTCAACCGGCCTTAATCTTATTTATTCAGCAAAATTATAAAAATAGTTGGTAAATTGGTTGATTCCATGCATAACCCATTT